TTATTTATTTTCGCTGCGGGTGCTGATGAAACCTAGCTAGGTTGACACTGCTGTCCAACTTCTATGAGAATACCTTTTAGGAAACAAGGTTATGTGTAATTCAATGTAAGAATTCATTACCATTTCTCTATCACCTTTAATTAAATAAAGCGAACCTATTTTTTATTTAAAATCTATTGCTTCTCTTGAAAGCCTATTTAGATACGAAAATAACTCAAATATAGGGTGAATACATCTCATTACACTGATTTACTGGTAGTCTCGAAACCCTACTTGCATAGGAATATAAGTATCGTTGTCGATTGCTATAGCAAACATACGTTTGCTTCAACGGCACTCCCACTAAAGAATATGATATAGCAAAGAGGCCTGACCTTCCTTGAAATTCACTTATGCCCTGTCACTCAAGGGTACTCGTGGCAGTGTAGCCGAGTGGTTAGCGTGTCAAGCTACCGTCCTGCACTCTCGCGGTTCGAATCCCGCTGAGGGTGTTGATAAGACCAATGCGACGTCGAAACTACATTCCACTGGTGCCTGGATGAGAACAACTTTTGGGAAAGCGAGGCTATGTGAAATTCAATGAAAACGTCAGCTCAACTCATATCATTGTGGGGAAATTCTACTACCAGTCCTTCATCACCTTACACGAAATAGGGTGAATACATCTCATTAACTGTTATACGCCATTTCAAACAACCTTGGGTGACTAAGGCTTTTATTCAAGAGCTACTGATTGTCTCGAAATCCTACCCAATTGTAATCGAATAAGATTGTCTCGGGGACAGCGTCGACATCAAATAAAGCCAGCCGACAGCTGGCCAAGAGGAATAATCCACTGTCTTCTTCTGGTGGGGCCGACTTTGCAATCTCTTCATCACACCTTTAGTCGAAATGGAAGTTCCCGCTTGAGCAGAGGCACAGTTATGCTGTAGGCGGCTGTGACCTCTATTCTGGCTGAGCTCGCCTCACACTTCGACGCTCAGGCCACAGTCGAGCCCAAGCTCATTCCTCCCTCCAAGGCCTGGTATATGCTCGAGCAGATTCTGGTCCTAGGGAGGGGGTGGGGGGAAATTGAGACATCCAGGTTGACTGAGGGGGGGGATCTCAGGTACGCCCGCTTGTGTCAGGAGACGATGTCAGCGTTGGTTGAAGACCCTGTTTGCGAAGCCCCGATAGGCCAGAAGAGCGTCATAGCTCAGACAAGGTGCAGCGCGTTGGCCTAAGTCATTCCGGCTTGGACCAGAACAGGGCCCCTCAGCCCTCACGACCACCTGAAGTGAAATGAGCCAGCTTTTTTTACGCTATTCTACGCACACCGATTTCATTCAAAAACAGCCATGTGGAGTTGCTCCAAGCGAGCCCATCCGTCTTTGCATGCATCCACTTTTTCGCCCACCTTTCCATGCCTCTATGCCGTCGTCCACCCATTCAGCCGGCTATCCACTCAAGATTTAATCATGCCCTCAATTGGCAAGAGTACAGCACACCTACATTACTAAACATGAATGCATATATACACACACTTGTCAGCACATTTTATGGCGCCAAACCTTCGTAAGGTTGAAGCGTAAAACTCATTTTACTTGCATTATCTGTTTCTAATGCAGTTAAGCTTATATTTATATTCTTCCTTATAATGTTATTTCTATTGTGG